CCGAGTGGTAGGACATGGCGGTAACGACCACTCGCTGGTAAAGCTGTTTGTCCTCTTTTCTAAGGACAGCTGATGACGATTGTCGTGCTAGCATCGAATTTCACCGATAAAATTTGTCACTGGCCTGATTTTCTCAATAGCTAAGAAAATTATTATCGAGTTCGGCTTCAGAGCAGCGCTGTCTGCCATTATTATGTATGTTTGAAACATTGACAAGTGCGAAGGGGTTCACTAAAGCAACCAGGGCATTTTGCTGTCGCGCCTCGCTTATGGTATCATTAGAAGCTGGGTAGAGGAATTAGCTTAAGTCGCCCTCACGTCATCATTTCCGACACCTCAAACCATGAGGGTTCTACAGGTACCTACTTATTTTACGAAAAGCAGCAGTGGAGTGAGTCGGGCAAACGCAGAATCATAATCATACATCTGTTTTCGTAGTCAGTATTTTACTGTGAAGGTGATTCTACTCAGAAACGACAAAATGGTTATGCGCTTTATTTTTTTTTGGAACTTCAGCAAAATTAGTACATTATTGCTAAGACCACGTTTAGATAGTCTATGCAAACAAAAAAAGCAAAAAAAAAACCATACTGAGAGAAAGCAACCATATCGTTAATGAGACCAAAATTATTACCAGATTTGCACTGCGCAAGTCTCGAGCGCAAAACTGGGTTTTGGAAAGTCAGGAGAAGATAAACGTCTAAATCTTTGTTGTAGTCAGCTAGGCCACATGGAAATTATTTTCCAGACTTCAGAGAATAAGAGAGCCGTTAAATAACCGAAAAAGGATTAGTCTCGATGCTGAATTGGTACCGGCATATGCCAAGGAGTAAAACCGCCCATAAGCCTATATAAGCAAACAACCATCGTAAGAGAGAGTCATTGACAGTCTTGCCGGCTACTGTTGGTGCTTTCGGTTTTGAAGGAGTATGTCGATAGAAACGATAAGCAACTTTGACATCTATTCTTTTGGGAAAGTAAGTTAGGCGGTAGGCACGATTTTGCTGTGGATTTTGCTGTAAGAAAGAGGACAAACATCGATATTGTAATGGCGCAGCACATCCTTCATCGAATTGAGCACATCGGCCGGTGATGAATAGTAGTACGCATAGCTCTTGTATTCTGCTTTTTTGTTCTTGAACTGTGGCAGCAAATCGCCATTCTTATCTGCAGTCTTCCTCCGATTTTCAAAATACACTTAGAACGATCTTTTCTACATCCTAATCGAATCAGCAGTTTTAGTTAATTCCAGTTTTGCAGGCCCATCATCCAGTACTTTTGTTGTGATAATGGTAAACCGGCATTAGCACAAATGTTCGAGAGTCAAAACAGTTCACTTCTACGCAAGCAGCAAACCTCGAAAACAGAAGAACCGTCAAGAACCGTGAGCGTATTTGTTTGTGTTGCAAATGTGCTGAGCTAATTCTGTCTTCGGAAGAAATAATGAGAGGAGTAATTAGTTGTGAACCCCCTAACATCTGTTCAGATTTTGCTGACGAGAATTATCAGAATTGGTCAAATCCCGTACGTAGCGCCTTTAGGATTTATGCTATGCGGTAAAATGCTGACTGCAGCTCATT